ATAATATGCTAAATCAGAGTTTCATGGACCCACATTGGGTTTGAGGCGAACTTGGTGGCTGATGCGTTAGCAAAAGAGGGAACATCTCCTCCTGGAAATGGCCCTCTCTAATTTTCGTTGGCTGTTTTAGTCTGATATTTTTCATGAAGTGCTTGTATAGAACTTTTGTACCTACAACACCTTCTTGGTGATATACGGTCCATATAAGGGGTTCTTTTTTGTATATTTACGTCTTATACTCAATAAAAATAATGTGGCTAGCTACAAAAATTTATACATTAACCTATTCTCTTCCAAATACGTGAAGTTTGGGAGTTGTCTCTAAGTGGTTTCACTAGCATCCACCACCATCTAATATGCAGTTTTGTCATTCACTATCATATGTCTTCAGACTCCCAAGCTTGTTGCCCACTTCACAAGACAAATAACTTCCCATCTAAACAAGTGGAACTTATCCAAACTGACAGAACCACTCAATAGGAAATTATTCATCAACGTTTCCAACCTCTAAGCGATCACCCTAAGGATATTCAACACAGACAAGCAACACATGACAAGATGGCTCTAAGAAGGGCGATCCTACCCCTAAATGAAATATCTCTTGATTTTCATGATTCTAACTTGTATTGAAATGTTTAAATGAATGGGTTCCAAGTTTAAGTCCATTGGCCAGCACTTTGGTTATAATCTTATAATTCGCAGTGAGCAAGCTAATGGGTTTGATGTTTGCCAAATAACTCTATATACTTTTTTATTTGGCACTTTAGTTTATGATAGTAGAGTTTATGGTTCGATTCACTATGACTCTTTTGTAAAACTCATGAAGTACCACTAGCAAGTCATATTTCACCACCTCCCATAACTAATGGAAAAATGCCAGAGAGAAGCCATAAGGCATGGGGCCATGTCCCTTGGTAGTGCAAACACTACCTTTCTAATCTCATTCTCATTGAAAGGTTAACTTCTTGCTTGTTCCTTAATTAGCTTGTGTGAAGGAATCTTTTCTAGAGAGAATGATAATCTATCCCATGAGGTGAATGCCCCCTTGAAGAAATTGACTGTGGCCCCTTGTTTTCTCTACTTCCTGGATCATTGGGACCAATATATTCCAAATATCATTCAATTTCCTTTTCTTATTCGTAATAACATGAAAATATCTCATATTACTATTTCCTTGATTGACCCACATTTGACCTAGACCTCTGAAACGAGTACAACTTCTCTATTTTCAAGAGATGTTGCAGTTCTTCACTCAGATTGACTGTAGTTGCAACATCACCAACTTGAATGCCTTATTGCAACTACTCCCCGGGTCAAGTTATTCAATGTCCCTCATTACCTCCTCCATCTTTACAAAGATATCCCCAAAATTCTCATGCAAACATTGTAGTTTCTTTCCAAATACATGGCTCCCCATCCCTGAATGTGTGCATTGTTCCATAAACGAAGCACCACATGTGGCAACTATTTGTCATCGAGCTACATCACCTCTAAATGAAATGTAGATGCCCTAAAAGCCACATCTTTAGTGGTCAGTAATGGCATAACATGATCCGACATAGCTTTTGGCATTGTCCTCACCAAAACTCTAGCGAAAGAGTTTCCTATTAAAGGGAGATTAGGACTCTGATCTATCCTTGACAGACATATTTTTCTAAATTATTTGAGTAATACGTGTCATACACGGTGTAATTCTACATTGATATTTAGATTATATGGACCATCTGATCATATTAAAATCCCCCAATCCACACGGTAGTACATCCAAATTATTTAGGATTTGCAACTTTACTTCTACAAATAAAATCGCAATGTTATATGATTTTTCTAAAACAATTACTACAAATTCTGTGTATTTTTATATAGACCTAGACCCTACCCAACCTAGTGGTTGAGTCTAAGTCTAATGGCCTAAACTCTGCCTTGCTCAATGTCAGGTAACGTGTGTCCAACTAGGACCCAGTTGGGTCACAGTAGGCTAGGAGCCTAGGATAGATGCCCAACCCCATCCATTTATACCCCTCCATCCGAGAACTCACAAGGGGCAATGAAGTCTTTATATACTTAAGTCTTAATAATATGGAAATAACCTTAGGGCTTGTTTGGGTACATGGATTTCAAAGCTTGGATTTTTAATATCTTGGATATTGTTAAAATCCACTGTTTGGAATGTTTAGTGACTAGGATACTTAACATCAGGAAAATCAAAATCATAAAAATAAAACCTACTTTTCCCTGATTTCATTTCTACACCAAGACCATTTTTTTTGCATTTCCAAGGCCCATAGATTTCTCTTATTGGCTCCCTCGACCTGAAACATAGAGAGCATTTGGTAGGTATGAAAATTTTAGAGAGAGAAAGTACTTAGATTTTTTAAACAGAGAAACTATCTTAAAATTTTTTGGGAGAAAAACTATCTCAAATTTTAACTTTTAGAGAAAGAAAATATGTTAAATTTTAGAGAGCAAAAGTATGTTAAAATTTTAGAGAGAAAAAGTACCAATTTTTTTTAGTGAGATGAACTATTTCAAAAGTTTAAAGAGAAAAATTGTCTCAAATTTTAACTTTTAGAGAGAGAAAGTATGCTAAAATTTTAGAGAGAGAAAGTATATTAAAATTTTAGAGAGAAAAAGTACCAATTTTTTTAGAGAGATAAACTATCTCAAAATTTTAGAAAGAGAAACTATCTCAAGTTTTAAGTTTTAGAGAGAAACTATTATATTTTTAGAGAGAGAAAGTACATTAAAATTTTTAGAGAGAGAAACTATCTCAATTTTTTAGACAGAAACTATTTCAAAATTTTTAGATAGATAGAGAGAAAAACTATATCAAATTTTAAATAGAGTACCTAAAAGTTTTAAAAATAGAAACTATCTCAAAAAAATTTAGAGAGAGAAACTATATAAAATCTTAAGTTTTAGAGAGAGAAAGTATTCTTAAAATTGTATAGAGAGATAGCATTATTAAACTTTCAAAGTGAAACTATTATAAATTTTAGAAAGAGAATCAACCAAAAAAAAATTTAAAGGGAGAAATATCTCATTTTTTAGATAGAGAAACTATCTCAAATTTTGAATTTAGAGAGAAACTATTTCTAATTTTGAATTTTAGAACGAAAAAATATATTAAAATTTTAGAAATAGAAATTATATCAAATTTTAGAGAGATAAACTACTTAAAAATTTTTAGAAAAAAAAACTATCTCAAAATTTTTGGAGAGAGAAACTATCTCAAAATTTTTGTAGAGAGAAACTATCGTAAAATTTATGTTTTAGAGAGAAAAAGTATATGAAAATTTTCGAGAGATAAGCTATCAAAATTTAAATAGAGAAAGTACACGAAATTTTTTAGAGAGAGAAAGTATCACAAATTTTTTTAGAGAGAGAAAATATCTCAAAAAAATAAGTTTTAGAGAGAGAAAGTATATCAAATTTTAAATTTTAGAGAGAGAAAGTATATCAAAGTTTAGAGAGAGACTACATCAAATTTTAAATAGAGAACTATTTCAAAATTTTAGAGAGATAAATTATCTCAAATTTGAAGTTTTAGAGAGAAAAAAATATTAAAATTTAAGAGAGTAACTATATCAAATTTTAGAGAGAGAAAGTATATCAAATCTTAAGTTTTAGGGAGAGAAAGTAATATTAAAATTTTAGAGAGAGAAAGTATTCTTAAACTTTTAGAGTGAAACTATTATCAATTTTAGAATGAGAAACAGCCAAAAAAAATTTAGAGAGAGAAGTATCTTGTTTTTTAGAGAGAAAAACTATCTCGAATTTTTAGTTTTATAGATAAACTATCTTGAATTTTGAATTTAGAAAGAGAAAATGTATTAAAGTTTTAGAAATATAAATTATATCAAATTTTAGAGAGAGAAACTACCTAAATTTTTTTAGAGAGAGAAACTATCTCAAAATTTTGAAGATAGAAACTATCGTAAAATTTATGTTTTAGAGATGAAAAATATATTAAAATTTTCGAGAGATAGACTATATCGAATTTTAAATAGAGAAAGTGCATGAAATTTTTAGAGAGAAATTATCTCAAAAATTTTTAGAGAGAGAAACGATCTCAAAATTTAAGTTTTAGAGAGAGAAAGTATCTCGAATTTTAAATTTTAGAGAAAAAGTATATCAAAGTTTAGAGAGACACTATATCAAATTTTAAAGAGATAAACTATTTCAAAATTTTAGAGAGAAACTATTACAAACTTGAAGTTTTAGAGAGAGAAAGCATATTAAATTTTAAGAGAGTAACTATATCGAATTTTAGAAAGAGCAAATAAATAATTTTATTTAGAAAAAGAAACTATTGCAAAATTTTTAAAGAAAAATTATCTCAAATTTTAGCTTTTAGAAAGAGAAAGTATCTTAAAATTTGAGAGAAAAACTATACCATATTTTAGAGAGAGAAACTATTTAAAAATATTTAGAGAGAGAAACTATCTCAAATTTTTTTAAGAGGAGAACTATCTTAAGTTTTAAGTTTTAGAGAGAAATTATCTTAAAATTTTAGAAACAGAAACTATATTAAATTTTAGAGAGAGTAAAATAACTAAAAATTTTAGAGAGAGAAATTATCTCAAATTTTTTAGATAGACAATTTCAAATTTTAAATTTTGGATAGAAAATATATAAAATTTGAGAGAGACAAACCATTTTAAATTTTGGAGAGAGAAACAATTTCAAAATTTTTATTTTATCGCAAAATTTGAGTTTTAGAAAGAGAAAGTATATAAAAATTTTAGAGAAAAAAATTTTGTTACGAAACAATGGACATAGAAGTGATTGGAAAGAATCTATTAATTTTGTATAGTTTATCTAAACAAGAGATTTGAGGAACCTATGACAAAACTCTTTGATATTGAAAAGATTAACGATCCTATTAGATCATTCTATATCTATGTGAGTAGGACCCAATAGGACCCAAACGATTACTATTTGACATACATATTTAGAAAAGTTTTTTTTAAAAAATCTGTATCACATTTTAAAAAATCCATAGACTTTTTCCGGATTTCATATATCTATTCCAAATATCTAGAAAAATGTTTGATATTAAAAATCTATAGATTCTTTTGGATTTCAAATACCTATTCCAAGTATCTAGGATTCCTAATTTCCTCCTATCCAAACGGGAATCAATTTACAAATCCAACCCTGCCCTTCAGGCCCATCTCTCTCTAGCTTTGCAGAAAGCATGGTGGGAGCGTAGTGGCGAGGTGTCGAAATGGAGGAAGGCCTCAAGGAGTACGCAGCAGGGTTTGCTGCCGGGATCGCAACTGTTATAACTGGCCATCCTTTTGACACAGTCAAGGTTCTCTCTCTATCTTCACCTTTATTATTCTGCATTTCGATGTCTCCTATAGCATTTTTATTGATTATTTTTCTTTTTATACAAAATAGATTTTCTTCTAAAATGTTCACGGTTTTAAGATTCTCTGTGGACCGCTACTCTCTGTTTCTCTTTTCATCTCATGGAGATTGATATTCTCCCTAACGGATCACTGTGTGTTTTTTGTATAATCTTTGCTTGGTATCATTCCCCTGGGATTTGAAGTTTGTGTAATATAAATTTAGGAAGTTCGTAACTTAAGTTTTTCTGCGACTTTAGCTCTTCTTTTTGTTGTATATGCGGTCCATGGGATGTTTGTCACTCTGCAAGTATTGGATTCCAATTTCCTTTTCTGTTTAAATGGGTTTCTCATTGTTTAGTGATCTGAATACGGCTTCTTTGATTTTGAACTCAATCTTCAGAAGTCCATTAAGTGATGAAATCCACTCTTTGGGTGAAGCCAACATGTGTGTTCCTTGATACACAACATTTCACCAAGTGATTTCATAGGAAGATGGCTAAGATAGTTCTTAAGCCTCTTGTAATTTATAACGCTTAAGTACACACTTCTCTGGTTTAAGGCATCGGTGTATGAGAATTCTGCCGCTTCTATTGTCTCGAAAGGGTTAGCATGAGGTATTGTGATGTTATGCAATTTATAGTAACATACTTTTTCCCATCCCAGTGATCATTTTATTTAAGGATCTCAACTGCAAGGAGTCAGCTCGGAGAACAATAATGGATGGTTTGTGCCAGAAGGGACTCAATCTATACTTAAGTTTTATTTCTAATATCAGCTTATGGATTTGTGCCTGTTCATATTTCATGCAAGAAGAAACAATGACCTATATATCATGTTCATTATGGAGTCTAACATCTGATCCTTCCTATATGGAAGACGATATTGGGTCAGCACTCAGTGCTGACTTTTATCAGTTTTTGCCTTGATGGGGTGGGCTTTCCTATGATCCCAATGGCTTCAAAAGAGTTGAACGGTGCAGGGCGCCCATGAAATGTTGGTTTTTGAAATGGCGTGTAGCTAACTTGAGTAGGATGTTCCATCGAGCCAGTGACTACCTAAAGAAAAAATTGGTGTTAATGGCCATGTCAAAACATGCTTCATAGTTAACACGTAAACTTGATATGTTGGAACAAGGATGTTATTGAGATTGTTTAGCAAACCTACATGTTTTTGAGTGATCATTTCTGAGTGTTCCATTGGTTTTATTTTCAGAAACATCCATTTTGATGACACCGAGTACACCTGATTTAATCCACATAGGATTTGATGGTGGGTCCTCCCATCAACCTTAAAAGTGAATCTGAAATGAGAAGGTCAGAACCACTTAATGTTCTTCATTGACATGCTTCTGAAGTCCCATGAGACAAGTCTTGAGTTTGAAGTCCAAAATCTGTCTAGGTGCCTTTGAATTTCAGTTGATGATGCATTGTTAACTCTGTCCACTAGGCATAACTCAAACTAGGGTCCTATGATATCCTCTCCTAGGTTGAATCTCATGAGGTCCATGAAACTAGGGTTCTATAGTATCCTCTCCCATGCTGAATGTTATGAGGTCTATGAAACACGTCACTGTGGTTGTCAACCATGGGTGCCTTCATAGGTCTCAATTGCACACCTCACACTGGTGTTCCCATGATAGCATCAGCTCTCACCACATTGGTATAGCCACTACTAGCGATTGAGGTTGAATGAGTTCCTAGTTGAGCAAGAGATTTGTGCCATTTGGATCACGTTTGTGTCATTAGTGAGAAATTGGTCAGATGAATGTGTTCTTGAATCTTGATGTGGATGCTGACCATGCTTTGACCTTCATGCCTAAATGATTCTCTCAGAGACCACAAAGCTTTAGAGCTGTGGCATTGATGATTGGGGAGCTTGAATATTTTATTTAGTTTGTAAGACAAGAGTAGACTTCTCTTGAGTTTTGCATCTAAGAACTTGACCTCTCTTTGTTAGAGTTCTCGATAAAGAAAACATCTACACTTCCATTTCAATTGCTGTAATGTCAGTGATTCCTCTGTTATAATTAATTCACTTTGGCCTCCTGCACCAGTACTTTCTAGCTCTGGATATTATTGTTCTACGTCTTATGTTTATGATTGTACATATCTACACTGTGGTATCTGATGTACTGTAGGTTTGAGGTTTTACTTGCGTTATAGTTTTTCAAGAACAAAGTTTTGAAATAAGTTAATCCAAATTATTTCCTAAATCTTTTCTATATATTCATTTGGATTGCATCTGGGCATGTGATTGTTGACGAGAGCGTTTGGCACCGTGGTCCTACATGCCCCACCTTGTTCAAAAAGATGGACGTGCCTGCCTAGGCTGTTTGGGGACTTGGCCACCTAGGTGGGTGCCTAGGAACAAGGACAAGCTAAAAGGAGTTCTTAGGGCAGGGGTTTAGGCCCCTTAAGGAGTTCTTAGGGCAGTTTAAGAGCCCCAAAGCCCCTGAAAATAAAAAAACGATAATTACAGAGACACAAACATCATCAAATTGCAACAAAACTCGAATTTCATATTACATTTACATAAACTGATAACACAACCATCAAAAGTCAAATGAAAATTCCATGTCATCACTCATCACCACCGTGAAAATTTAAAATGACAATTCTATGCCATCACCACCATGAGTAGAGTCTAATGATATTGCCATGCCATCATCATCAAAGTCATCCCCCTCATCATATTGAGCATCATCCCTTGTCTCATCTGAATTTGCTTCATCCTCTTCATCTTCCTCTCTCAATCCCGTAAACATATTCCCCTTCTATTTTTCCTTCCCCATCCCCTTCCTTTGGCTTTGAGATTGTGATTAAGTGGTCCTTACAAGGCTCAATGGTGTCCCAACAGCCTCACGAACCTGGCTCTAGGTGAAGCCCTCTCTAAGGAATACCGCATCTTCCCCAGCATCAACTAGCCACTCGCACATATGATCCATATCATCAACCCAAGAGATTCCCTTCCATTGTGCTCTAGCTCTTGGTGGCGCTTCTGCAACTTTTGATTATATTAAACGAAGATAAGGTTGCTCAGTCGCTTTTGCTCAAGTCAGTTCCTCTTCTTTGTATAGACTTATTAGATAAGTGTTGAATGAACTAAGTACCTAACTAACGACTATATACGTAATATACCATTTCAAACGTGTTGAAATTGCGCTTGCATCCAGACGAGGTACAAGTTAGATTCAATATATGCATAGCCACTTGACACAAATGTGGGGTGCTTCCCCCATAGCTTGTCCACCATGTAGCTATTCATGTAAATATAAATGTAGTACATAAGCTATTTGCATCATTGAAATTTAAAATTTTAAATTCAAATCATTAAATCAAAATGAAGAAGTTCTAAACTCACCAAGAGAGGTCTTGGTCCTCTACGGTATTGCTAACTCTATTCCAAGAGATCCAGTTGAGAGCCTATACTTTTCTAAATCCATTGTGACCTTGCCTTGGACTTTCGGATCAGGGTTGAGTTTGATATTGTATTAGTTGATTGCTTTCATGAAATCAATCTTTCCATGTACCTCATGATCAGTAAAAAATGAGCAGGGTTAAGGTAGTTCCACATGCCTGCTAAGTAGACAAGCCTCTCAAGTTGGTAGTTCCATTTATCTTCTATAACCTTCAAATAATCTCCATACTTAGCTTCATCATTCTTGAAAACTTTCTTGATTTCTTCTTTAGCATCCTCCATAGCTTTATAAATGTGAATTATTGTGGGTTCCTTCTCAATCATCTCGAGTACCTTTACAAGTGGCAAAAAAAAAAAATGAGGCATATTGAACCTTATTCCCAAATCGTGAATCCATGACACTCTTCATTACTACTTTTCCATCGAACTTATTGGCCCACTTGGACTTGGTCCAATCCTCATATACAAACATTAACCTTAGCTTTTGCTGCAACTCATCCAAAGATTGCAAGGACAAGCAGCTCTCACCATGTCTCTACCATCAGTGAACTTCCTCATCATGTTTAAGACCTGGTCAACATTAATTTCCTTATGTTACAAACTTACAATGACATAACATAACATGTACGTATTTGAAAGAATCAAAACAAGTACAACAAAGCATAGTATAAAAACTTATGTTCTTACCTGAGTGTGACTGTATGTATAGATTGTGATGGTCTTTCCTTTTCTGATAATCGTCTTCATCAACTTCCTCTTACTAATTGCCTCAAGCATGATGTCTATGTTGTGCACTGTGCAAGGCGACCAAAAAATACGTGGCCTCTTTGCCATCAATAACCTAGCTGCCGCCAATATTGGATGAGTAATAACGGTCACTACTTAGACCACTTTATCCTCCCTCACCTCCTCTATGCACGAGTCCACCAATCATAAAATGAAGGTCGCATCATATAATAGACCTTAAGAACATCATCCTTAATTGACAATTCACCATCAAATTCATAATGCTTCCATTTCTCTTATCACTCTAACCATAAATCGCAATATTGTAACCTTAAATTCCCATGCTTCCTGTGGATCGTCAAAAAGTTAATAGCTAAACTCAACTTTATTTCTTAGCAATGGGCCCTTGAGATGATAAGCAGTTGGCACTCTAAACCCTGGCCCAAATTGACCACTGCTTCCAACATAGTCTGAAAGGTTTCCAAGTTAGTAGCATTAAAAGAAAAGCCTGCTTGGTAGAACCATCTGGCTGCATATTATGCTTCCTTACCTCTATCCTCATTTTTTAAGTGTGTGTTGTAATCTAAGGACTTTTTTTTGTGTGTATGTGTGTGGGAGGGGGGGGGGGGGATGGGGTGGGGGAGGCTAAGAATCCATAGACCCTCTTCTTCGAGGCCTCTTATGCATGGACCCCATTTGCCTACTAGAAGATCAAACTCCGGCATATATGTTCTCTTCCTCTTCCTGAACTCCAAAAATACCTACAATTTTGATAATTTCTTCATGTCGTTTCCTCACCTCCTCTTTCTTGTTTTTAACCGCCTCCAAGTGCTCTAACATCTCTCTCCTAATCTCAGTTGGCACTTGAGTGTGGGGCCACACCCCATTAATGCTGGCTAAATATTTCTTTAATCAGTTAATACCGGAATTATATGATTTCTTACAAAACTTACACTCCACCCTATTCTGGTAGACAGAATGTGGACAAGTCCTGTACTTCCAACTTGGATCACGTTGCTTACTTGATCCAGTTGAACACTTGAACATATTGTCATGACTCATGACTTACAACACAACAAAGTCACAGTAATTTAGAGAGTACCACCTAATCAACAAACCTGAAAAATGCACAAGATGAAAGTGCTAAGAAAAAGAAAAAGAAAAAAATTCAAGTTTTAAATGAAGACTATGAAGTAAACAAAACAAACTGGAAAAGACACTAAAAATGTGGAAATTGGAAATCAATCAAAAGATGAAACTTCATAATATGTGGAAACCAAATGAAATGTAAAAAATCATACGATATATGGTTTTCCAATCTACAAGAAATCACATAATATGATATCAATCTAAAAAAACATAATCGCATAATTCACATAACATAATATCCATAAGATTTGGTTTTGCAATCTAAATATTAAAAAATATCAATTTAATTCAAAAGTTTCAAACTGTTCACAAAATATAAGCTGAAATCCGTAAATGTTTTATTTTATTATGTCAACCATCCATTTGTTTAGACCAATTATGGATGAGCTATAAAAATCCCTTTCACTGAACAAATAATACTATTTCATCTATATGGTCCAAATCAACTTATTTCCAGATCTTCAGGTTTCTAATATTCCAGGTTCAGTCAAACACAATTTTCTAGACTCTTTGTAGAATTCTAGATAGGTTATTAAACACAGTTTTTTCCAGTACCAAGTACTGAAAAATTCTACCTTCTAGATTCCAGAGCTTCCAGCTCTTACGGAACCTAGCTTCTGTTGGACAATCGGCACTAAATGTTTTTTAATTGATGCCATATATCTCTAAAGCAGATATATGATGCCTACTAAATTTTCTTTGAAAAAAGTTTATATGAGGTTGTAGCCTTATACTGTATAAGTAAGGTGCACCTAAATAATAATAAAATATTGTAACACATTATACAAAAAGATCATGTAACACATTATACAAAAAGAAATGGTAACACATTATACAATAAGAAAATCCTAATTCAAATTTGATATTGCATTAAGCTTTTCAAAATGAAATTGATATAGGTCCAAACCGGGAAATATTCAAAAAACATTTCAAATTTTCAACCACAAACATGTAAAAATATCACAAAAGAAAAAGAAAAAAAGACAAAATAATATCAAATGATTCAAATCATAACACATTACTCAAAAAAAAAAAACCTAATTAAAATATTGTAATGCACTAACCTTTTCAAAATGAAACCTATATTGGCCCAAACTGGTGATCTTTAGTTAAGTTCTCTTATGCGACCACTTCAAGCTCAAAAAACTATCTCGAAGTATTTTCTCATTAATAACAAGAAATCGAAAAGTTGAAATCTTTTTGATCTTACAAAAAATCTCAAATCGTAAGTTTTTTGAGAGTTTTTCTCTCTCTAACATGCACAAAAGGGGTTTTGGGGACTAGAATGCTCCGCCAAACCCTTTTCCCCAGGGATAATCCCGAAATTGTCGTTGGTCAAGGGCCTTGTCTTCTCTGCTCCCTGCATCAAGGCACTGCCAAGGCACCCGCCTTAATTTTTTTGAGAGACTTTTTTTTTTTAATTGTTTTCTTACAACGTCAATTTCAGTCTCCGAGTGATCAGGTGTGATAAAGTTGCGGTTGTGGTATATCTTGTTTTCATACTTCCAATGTGACACTTGCTTAGTGATCGACTTGTATTCATTCCTTTGATAGTTTTCTATCACCATAAAGTATGATTTGTCATAGCTGTAGGGCAGGGCACTTATCATATGACAAATCTACTTAAAACCCATGTCGAGTTGATGCTATACATTATGTAGGAAGGAAACACGGGAATTGGTTCTAGTTCCTCTAGATAAAGATGTAGCAGGTTTAAATCGAGTAGGAAAACATGTTCAAATCAAATGGATTTTTTAACCATTGTGACGTTTGTTTTATTTCCTTGGGCTATCGTCACTCATGAGTAACATGGACTCCACTATGAGGAGGCCATTATCAGAAAAAAATATTAACAGATGGGGAAAAAGCATTGAATGAGAGGGGAACCTAGAGGCTATAGAGAATGTCATTATGAAGCTAGCCGCATGATATCCAATGTGCCATTGGAGAAACAATTTTTGTAGGCATTGACCATCTGAGGACTAAAATGAATTAAGAAACAAAATGTAAAATGAATTGTAATAAACTTGAAAGGTATTTGTTGTCTTGTGTATGTCCACGTGAAAGACCAACATGCCCCTATAGGTTTTTGTTATGTAACGAAATTTTCTTTCTCTTGGTTGAAGATTACGTAGAAAAATAGATGTTAGTCTCAAATGTCTATTCTGTTTATGGTCGATTATCATGTTTGAGAGCTGATGCATCTATTGATGTGCTTTTGGTAATTAGGATTCATATCATTTTTTGCTAGAGAGGTGTATCACACATGTTCATGTTTAAGCAATTTATGCACATGAATCCTCTTAAGCTACACTCTCAAGGATGATGTGCAGGAAAGTTTAGAACTACGATGGCATCTATTCATTTAAGTAAATTATGATTAGTTGGTACCTTTTAATGATTTCCATCTTACATATTTTTGTTGGGAAAAGGTTTTGATGATGATGATGATGCATCTTGTTTTTTTTTCTTTGTATCTTTTTGCTTGGTAAGCAGGGGTGAACTATAAGGACTTACTAGGAGGTCTCCCATTCCACTAGGAATATTAGACTAATCGGAATCATGACATGATGCTGTTCTAAATACTTTACGTGAAAATTATTGATGATTGATTTGTTAGTGTACTTAGTGCAGGTACTCCATATTGGATAAGAGATTTCTAAGTGCCTAGATCCTTGAACCCTTGGTGCTTAGGGAAGTTCCTCTAACTATGCCTAAAACATTGCCGGGCAAGCTACAAAGTGTGACCTGATGCTTGAGTTATTTGCTGGCTTTATGGGAATCCGAGCATGTTTGTCATGGTGGTATCTTTTGGGAAAATCACAGGAGAAGGCACACTATATGTGTGAGATACTTAACATAGTAAATCTGCAGTTATCTCCTTTTATCCCTTTCTAGAAGTTTACAATGATGATTTTGTCCTTAGCTTGAGGTGGAATGGGTCAGTAGAATAGTTCTTCTGCTTAAGATAAATCTTCCTCTCCCTTGATCTCTTATGTGTGCTTTCAATGTGGGTTTTACTCTTTTGTACTACTAGAGTCGTCCTTTTGATTTTCAATGAATACCATGAAGAAAGCAGTTTTTCCTTCCCTTACTTAGAGAAGGAAAACTGTGAGGAATGGGGCCAAATCATTACTTGTCCTTGGGATTATTGAACTACGAATGGGCTCTTACCTTCCCTCCGGTGCTCAACCAAACAACGAAATCCAACAAACTTTGCAATGCTTCCACACTGGAGAACATGTGAGTGATTAATGGGAACCAGCCAAGATGTCACCCAACAACCTGCAGGACAAACTGAGAATGGATGATAAATGATAAGGGAACATTGAGAGGAAAACAGCTGTCGACAGATAATTGTTTAGTCCTTCTTGTCTTGGTAACTACATTTTGCAAACACACTTTTCGCAAAGTCTTCAACGGACACCAGTGATTCATGCTTCAAAAATACAATTTCAGTTTTTTCAACGTTGCTAAGTGGTTAGAAGTCATGACTTACTGATATAACTTTGCTTAAGAAATGTGATCCTGTTGTAAGGCTTCTTTTCCTAGAGTCTTTGCCAGCTTCTTAAGATATTGTTGAAAGTAAAGTGTAGGGCTTCTTTTTCCTACAGTCCCTGCAAGCTTCTTAAGATATTGTATGCATTGCAGGTGAAGCTGCAGGCCAACAATACTGGACTTCATGGGAAGAAGTATAGGAATGCTCTCCATTGCACTGCCCACATTTTGAGAACTGAAGGAGTATGCACTAAATAACTCTGAGCAAAATGTTGAAGTGGAATTTGTTCTGATCTACATCCTATAAATGTAACCATCAGTTGTTCTTTTGCTTTTCTTCTTCCATTACATGTATCTATTTTGAGGTCCATTATTAGGTGCTTAACTTTATGATGCAATTGTTGAAAGCTACCCTTGCTATAAATAGATTAGATTGCTTCGTCATTGAATGAAACAGTCAAATGTTTGACAAAATAAGTATGCAAGTCATCTCAATTTTCATTTCTTATTCAGTGTTTTTCTTTGTTAGCATCCTATCCTATTTTTTGCCATTAATGTCTGCAAATTGTTAAATCAATGGTTATGTGTATCTGACGCTAGAGTTGCAGTGTTAACTGGTCATCGTCATTTCTTGGTTTGTGATGCAGCAGCTAGCAACATCAATGTGGCATGCCCAGTCATTACATTTAATAAGCGCATGGTTGTTGTGTAATAAAATGCTATTGCATGGAATTTATTGCATTTGCATTTGAAAATGATTGCATAGGAACTAGGACTGAATTGGAATAGTTGTTGCATGGGTAAACAACAAGAGTCTTGAAGAATATGATTTTGAGTCTTGAAAGTATGGTCAGAAAGTTATGAAGTCTTAATTGTCCAAGTGTCTTTGTGATTCTGTAAGTACCCATGATAAATGAAAGAAACAATGGTTTTCCAAATTATTTTGTTTGCAAGCACTTATCTTTTCCACTTGAAGTCAAGTGAGCTCTACTACGTGGTGTTGAGTGATTTCGTCACAAGCTGGTCGAGTGCTTCCCAGCTACGTCTTGCAGGTTCTCGTCTACTTCAGTTTGTTATGCCTTTTGCTTGTTGTGAATGTTGTTTTAAGTCCTGCTATATGTCTCAGAATTGTATTGAAAAAACTATTAAAGCAAATGACAAAGGGATCCTAAAACCCAACACCTGGGTATTGTCATGTGAATAAGATGTTGGATAGATGTGGTCTTTTAAGGCCTTGACAACATTGCACTCAAAATCTAATTTTGTGGATGGCTTGGCTCCAGTGGGAGCTTGATCCTGATGGGGACCAACGATGTGGTTTGGGGCCCATCCTAGATAGATGAGAGATGATCACTCGAGGCGACTCACCGAGCCTTGGTGGTTTAGCATCCAGAATGGTATTTAGAGTCAAGAAAACCTAGGATCATGGGCATCAAAGCCGAGGAGGCACCGAAGAGGGTTTGGGGGTCATCCCTTTTCGAGGTCGGATATATGCCCATTGAATGGCAAGAGGAAGATGAACTTCATCATGGGTCGGAGGCCTGTGAGCGCAAGGGCCAAAGCCTCGACACTATTACCATGTGACAAGTCCAGATGATAGCCACACTATGGGAAGTTGCCTCCTCAAGGAGACATCACATACTGTAGAGAAGTCCCCGCATCTTGCTTTGTGGTGCACATGCACAAGAGTGGCTTAGTTTTGTCCTCGGGGGAGCATATGTAATCCATAAAGGTACTGAAACGCCTTCGCCACCTATTGGCAGGCTTTAGTGGACCAAGCATGAACCCGGGCATGTTTTAGTGGACCAAGCATGAACTCGGGCATGTATGATTGTGGGTCATGGGTTTCATTGGGTCAGTTTAGGAAGGTGCTCATGACCCACAGAGTACACCGCCATGGAAAGCCTTGGATTGATTTTTTAGCCTTAGGTGCCTATTCCCCCTTTAATGATTTTTAAATGAGCCCAAATCACTTTGTTTTGAGAAAGTTGAAAAATGATTTTTAGGAATTTTTGGAAAATTTCTATGAAGAAAAATGGTAGAAATAAACAAATTTGGAAAATGACCAGGAAGGATAGACTCATGTGTGCATGGGACATGCATGGCCCAAGTGGCCAATGAGCCTCACAAGGGACACACAACCCACAAAAGGGCCCAAATGGGGCCCACACCCCTTGTGGAGGGCTCCACACCCTAGTGACATCGTGATGACATTATCCAAAGGGGCCTCACTTTGCTCTCCTCTTTGGTTAGTTTTTTAGTATGGGATTTTGATTTTATTAATGGGAAAATTGGTCAAGTGACCTACTTTCCCACAGTTGAAATTTGTGGAACACATGATTGGAAATTTAGTAATTAGTTCCAAGGAGGGACACTTGTCATAAGATCCCTTGAATACATGTGAAGTGTAGCTATGATTCCTTGGACACTTGTCACCACACATTTGAACACATGGATGTTGGTTAAGGGAATCATGAGATATTTTCTGTCCACAGAGGAAGAGAGAGTCGAAGAGAGTGGCATGCTCATAGTTCTTGGGATCTGGAATGAGATTGGGAGTGGGAGATCTTGAAATGCTAGAAGATCTCTATGGTTGGGATCACTGTCCATACAATGCATATGTTGGGGATCTAGCTCCCTAATTGATGCAAGGAGAAAAGTAACAAATAAGGAAATAACAATAAAAATAAATAGATGAGAGATTATACCCTCGCTCAAGGTCTGCAAGGGAGTCCACCTCAAAGATCTATTCACAAGATCAAAGAAAACTCTTTCTTTACTCAATTCATCATATGTTTTTTGAACCAACAATTAAATATTTATAGAAGAAATAAACCTAAAACATAACTTGTTTTGTAAGAGTCTGCAAGAGAGTCCGCCTCAAAGATCTCTTCACAAGATCAAATAAAACTCTTTCTTTACTCGATTCACCATATGTTTTCTGAACCAACAATTGCATATTTATAGAAGAAATAAGCCCAAACATAACTTGTTATGTAAGAAGCATCAATCAAATCCTAGCTTTTCATCTTTAATAAAGAAATAAACTTCCACTTGTACTCCTCAAATATCTACAATTAGAAAACAAAAATAACCCTAAAGAAAATTAAAAACCCAAGGTCGGCAAAGGAATCCACTTTAAAGATATCTTCACATGATCAAAGAAAACTCTTTCTTTACTCAATGCACCATATTTTGTTTTCTGCTAAACCAACGATTGCTATTTATAGAAGAAATAACGCTAGAATCTAACTTATTCCCTAGGATACCCTAATCGAACCCTACCCCTTCATCTTTAATAAAGAAATAAACTTCCAATTTACCCATCAAATCCTACAATTAAAAAAGACAAATAATCGTAAAGAAAATTAAAAACCAAATATAACCCTAAACCTATTAATCTCCTAAGAAATAATAAAATAAGAATTAAAAAAATTAATTGCATCATTTTCCCAGGGTTAGGAGAAGCTTGACCTCGAGCTTGTTGAATTCATCACATCCTCTAAAGGCCTTTCCAATAATTGGTGATGCAGGCTCGTCATTTGTCTCAATTCCTTTTCTTCAATGAAATCAAATACTTGATATGCAGTTTATAAGGGAACTCTAAGATGCCGATCATAATCTTGATTTCTTTTTTAAGCTCATCAAGGAACTCTGGAAAATCAATCTTGATATCAAGATTTTGTGGATGTTCCTTAAATCGTGGTTCTTGCATCACAATTTACTCGTTACATAGAGGATCAGCATCTGAAATCGATTGTGGAGGTAGTTTTGTCTTTAAGTTAAAAGTTGGCGCCAGATCTATGTGATTGCGAGTACCATCTTCTTGGAGAATAACATTATCTAACCGTTGCAACCTTTTATTCACTTCACCGATCTTTCCTCGAATTCCTTATATGGCTCCATTTATGCTCTTCATGTTCTCCTCCATGGCGTTATTTACACATTCCATAATGTGTGGCATTAAATCATCGTAGTAGTATGTTTTGGTGGCATTGGATGTTTGGTTTTCTTGCCCTGATACCAATTAAATATAGGAAGAAAATTAACAAACCAGGAAATAACTAGAAAAATAAATAGATGAGAGATTATACCCTCTCTTAGGGTCTACAAGGGAATCTACCTCAAAGATCTCTTCACAAGATCAAAGAAGACTTTTTCTTTACTCAATTCATCATATTTTTTATGAACCAACAATTACACATTTATAGAAGAAATAAACCTAAAACCTAACTTGTTTCCTAAGAAACCCAAATCAAATCCTTGCTCTTCATCTTTAATAAAGAAATAAATTTCCAGTTCTACGTCTCAAACCTCTACAATTTAAAAAGACTGATAGCCCTAAAGAAAATTAAAAAGCCAATATAACCCCAAAACTAAATTCTAATCTCCTAAAAAGTAATAAAATAAGAATAACAAAAAAATTTATTGCACAAATGTTAGGGATAGAGATCCCAACCTTTCGGGGATCTTTATTTTGGGGATCTGGCTCTTAATCTTAAAGAGTGTATATAGCCTGGGACTATACATACTTTTAAAGTAGGGATCTCTTTATTTATAGCCAGTAAGAGAGGCTACTATATTAAAAATATAATTTTGTTACTTGTAGCCAGTAAAGATGCAATTGTATTAAAAACTAGTTGTATTGCTAGTTGGCTATAAATAAAGACAATCATCAGTTTGGTTGTTGGCTTAGTCTTTAAGGTTAGGATCGAGATCTCTAACATTGGTAATTAGGATCCTTAAAAGTGAGGATTGAGATCCCAAAATTTAAAAAACTGAGATCCCAAAATATAAAAATCAAGATCCCTTCTTGGAGTGGAAAAGCGAGATTTTGGAGCGGGATCGCCGCCAAAATTGAGATCCCAAAATACAAAAATCGAGATCCCAGGTTTTATCTCTCTTGATGTGTGGTGATGAGTTCCCTTGATCAAAGATCCAATGGTTCAAATTCAAAACCTGTATGTGGATTAAAGGAGAGTTAGGGTTAGAAGCCGCTAAGGTATAAGGGTGTGATATCCACTATCGATGTGTTATAGCTAATTTAGGTTTGGATGATTGGATTTAGATCTTCTTTCTTCCCATAGATTATCAAGATCAATGACCCATATTTCTGGAAGTTAAAAAGAATATTCCTACATATCATTAAACCCTAATGCAGCTCTGTACATAGGGACCTTTCCATCTCTTAACCAAGTAGGGTTGTGCTGCCCATATGTCTCTAGGCCTACCGCTTAGCCTCC